AAACAAATGGCTACTAGGAGAAGACATCTCTCAAAGCCAGGGCGAGGACTGTGTGTGCTCCTCAGAGATGCACATTCAGTAACTGTCTGAGTTTTAGACCTGCTGCCGTGGCAACTGCCTGCAGGTTCGAGCGCTACACACACTCAGACATGGGAAGAGATGTTCCCATTTTTTAAATGCCGCCTCTATTTAAATACCGTCATTTCTCCACAAGTCACTGACTTAAATTTCAGTTTCTAGTGCCATGTGCTGATGCGAATGGGCTGCTGGGCTCCGAGGCTGCTCTGTTCTCAAAAACGGCCTTGGCTCCTCCCCAGGACCCGGAGAACCGGGGTCCTCCTCAGTTTTGTGGCCCCTGCAGTGCCATCTGCCTGCAGACTGAGGCCCATGGTAACAGGCTGCCTCGGGCTCCACCTGCTTCTCCCGGGAGACTCTCCCCAGACAGAAGGGGGCCACCAGGAAATCAGTGACTGATTCCAACAAGCGAGGACCAGGCCTTGGTCTCAGCCACATACCGAACCAGAAAAGAGAGGCGCCGAGCCTCCCCTCGCCATGGGGCTGCTCTGCACAGCCGTGATTCAGCGGCCCGGCAGAGCACCGCAGGCACACGCACCGCAGGGCCACGGGGACTTCCCGCGACCTGCTAAATGCACGCCAAGACATCAAAAACACCCGTTGCTTAGGCACAGAGTACGAGCATCTTGCTGGCAAATAAGCAAATAGACCGTTAGACATATTAATTCTTTCCCCAAATGGAGTAACAGTTATAAACGAAGGTAAATGTCTCAGGGCTCAAGTATCCCCGTGGGAAGGGTTAGGCTGCCTAAGGCTTTATCCCCTCACAAGACAGCATCTCAAAGGGACCAAAAATTTTCTGAAGCCTGCAGTCCCAGGGATCAGCTGGGACATTACAACACTGTAGCCAAGGCGAGGTTCCCATTGGCAGGTGCACGTGGTGGCCCCTCTGGGGACCAATTCCAGGGGCGTAGGCCTGCAGTGCCTGCTCTGGGGATGGGAATTCGTTTTAATGTCTCTTCTTACTTTTCTCATCTGTCAAATGGGTAGACTCCTGTTACCTCGGGGCCGAGAAGCGGTGAGGGATAGCAGGCGGCTGTAACGAGCGACGGCGGGACATTTGCAAATGTACCGTCAAAACGCTCAGGACTGCAGCAGATTTCCCCAGATGACAGTCTCCCCCCAGTTCGAGTCACTGGTGCAGCCTGTCAGCGCGGGACCGACTAGGGGGCTGGAGCCTGTGGTGGTCTCCCTGCCTCCCCACATGCTTTACTGAAGGGTCCCACCATTTAGGAGGGACTTAGGGTGCTTGGATTGGCCAGCACGCCCGTGAGGCGCGATGGCCGAGGCTGGGACCCCATAGGGGCCTGCGCCTGTCACCTCCAAAGGCAACCTCATTTGCAAAGTCAAAGCCATTTGGGGCACTCCCGAGGTGCCCGTGGGAGCGCCTGGGATGGCTGATGAACCCAGGATCACTTTCCGTCTTGCTCACATGCCAACTAGTCCCGTCCCAGGATGAAGAGAAGTGAAGACAGGCTACAGTCCCTCTGCACACATTCCAGTTAATTTCCCAGAAGCAAACACAAGAAATGCAGGTTCCAAGCAAGAGTCATCTAGGGTGACAAATGGAGGGGCAGTGAGTTTTTCTGTGAGTTTTAGAGGGTGGGGGCTGGTAGCAAACATGGATTTTGGTTTTCTGGGTTTCTCCTGTGAGTCCGAGTTAACAGGAAGCCACAAGGGCAGGAAACTCTCCTCTGAGGAACTTCTTGCAAAGACAAGGTTTGGCAAGGGGAAAGGTGTTTAGTATGCGAGCAAAATGCCGCATAAGGTGGCTCTAGAGCCCGATCGAGTTGCTAAAGAAATCTGGGCCACCCAGCTGTGCTGAAGACCTCCCCAGGCTGGGCCAAGCAGAGGCAGCTAATATATCAGAGCTGGATGGGTCGGGAGTGGATCGGCTGCCAGGACTCGGACCTGCCAAGGTCTCCGAGGCTGTGGAAAGTCGAGCAGTTTGTTCCCGCTGCCAACTGGCTGGGGGATTTGAGTACATCTTTGCCTTGTCTTCCTGCACCTCTAAAGAGGATAGTTTCTAGCTGATTAATCACTTTGCAGACACCAAATACTGGATACGGGCTGTGGCGGAGAATCTGAGCCACTGTCACAACAGGGGCGGCCCTGCGAGGTTTCCAGGAGGGTCCTGGTGGTTGGGGGCAGCGCTGTGCCTGTGTCCTGCTCAGACACTGTATTTATGTTAAGTCTGTGCCTGCTTCAGACATAAAAACACTTTAATCATCACCCCCTCTGAGCCAGAGTGCAAGGAACTGAGCCAGACACACGTCTGCAGAGCATGGTGGGGGGAGGTCTCACACTTTGTCTGCCCTCCCCAGGGGCAGGTGGCCGGTCGTTGTGGCTGGCTGATGCTAAATGTGTTTAACTGAACAAAAAACCTTGAACCAGTAATAAAAACAGTTCTTAATGTTTCCCTATATGTTTATAATAAAAACTAACTCTAACCAAAAGGAAGTCACTTTATCGAAAGCAAAAGTAATTTCATAGGCTTACCAGCATCAATTCAACAAATATTTACTGAATCGTAAAAGCACGCCACTCCACAGAAACAATGAGAGAGAAAAGTAAGTAAAATATTCAATCAGTGACCTCACAGGGTGGTATTTTAAATTTTATCTACATCATTTTCTTTTAAGTTTCCACATTAATAGACATGTTTCCATTTTTTATGGGCAGGGAAACCAATGAGGGTCAATAACTCTACTTTCTTTCTATGGTCTCCAGCCCTGACAATACCAGTGAGATCTTTCTCCCTCCCTCCCTCCTTCCTTCTCTTCTTGTAATTACAACTTGAGTTTATTCAACTGCAGAAATAACATTGAGTGAAACTTTATAAGCCCTCAAATTGATATTTTTTTCTCATAGAAAAAGGCTGGTAAAACCATTTCTAGGTTTATCTAACCAGGATCCCAAATTTCAAGACTGGAGACACATAGGACTGTAACTGCCATGTAAGCTCCTAATGTCAGCCCTGCAACAACCCTCCCAGTGCAGAATGAGATCACAGTGTTATCACAGGATTGTATCAATAGACACAGGAAAAGCTTTTTAAAAAAATCCAGGACCCATTTTTGATAAAAAGTCTCAGCAAAGTGGGAATAGAGGGATCATACCTCAACATAATAAAGGCCATATAAGACAAACCTACAGCCAACATCATGCTCAGTGGGCAAAAACTGAAACCATTTCCTCTACGAACAGGAATGAGACAGGGGTGTCTGCTTTCACCCCCCTTATTCAACAAAGTACTGGAAGTCTTAGCCACAGTGATCAGACAAGTAAACATAAAAGGTATCCACATTGGAAAGGAGGAAGTAAAACTGCCATTATTTGCAGATGACATGATATTGTACATAGAAAATCCTAAAGACTCCACCAAAAAACTACTAGATTTAATAAATGAATTCGGCAAGACAGCAGGATACAAAATTAACACCCAGAAATCGATGGCATTTTTATACACTGATAACTCTCAGAAAGAGAAACTAAAAAAAAAAAAATCCCATTTACCATGGCAACAAAACATTAAGATACTTAGGAATAAATTTAACCGAGGCAGTAAAAGACCTGTACTTGGAAAACGTAAACAACTGAAAGAATATACCATGTTCGTGGATTGGTAGAACATCATTAAAATGTCCATACCACCCAAAGTAATCTATAGATTCGATGCAATCCCTATTAAAATACTAATGGCATATTTCACAGATCTAGAACAAATACTCCAAAAATTTACATGGAACCAAAAAACACCCTGAATACCCACAGCAATCTTGAGAAAGAAGAACAAAGTTGGAGGGATCACAATACCAGATATCAAGTTATACTACAAAACCACTGTAATCAAAACAGCTTGGTACTGGCATAAGAACAAACATAGATCAGTGAAACAGAACAGAGAACCCAGAAATTGACCCACACCTTTATGCTCAATTAATACTTGACAAGTGGCCAAGAGACATATGAAAAAATGCTCAAAGTCACTAATTATCAGAGAGATGCAAATTATAACGACAATGAGATACCACCTCACACTGGCCAGAACGGCTACCATCAATAAATCAGCAAACAACAAGTGTTGACCAGTATGTGGAGAAAGGGGAACCCTGGTACACTGCTCGTGGGAATGCAGACTGGTACAGTCACTATGGAAAACAGTATGGAGTTTCCTCAAAAAATTAAACATGCAACTGACATTCGACTCAGTGTTCCCACTTCTAGGAATATATCCTAAGAAACCCAAAACACCAATCACAAAGAATATATGCACCCCTATGTTAATAGCCGAGTTATTTACAATAGCTAAGATCTGGAAACAGCCCAAGTGCCCGATGAATGGATAAAAAAGCTGTAGGACATTTACACCATGGAATACTATGCAGCTGTAAAAAAGAAGGAGCTCTTACCCTTTGGGACAGCATGGAGGGACCTGGAGATTATTATGCTAAGTGAAATAAGCCAGGCAGAGAAAGACAAACATCACATGATCTCACTTATATGTGGAATCTAATGAAAAAAATAAACTGACAAACAAAACAGATCCAGAGAGACAGGGAAGCATGGAGCAGACCGACTAAGAAATGATTCCATGTATGTTTGCTTAATCCTCATGGCAACTCTGTAAGGCGGGTGTTATTTCCATCTAAATAGATGAGGGTAGGCTCACCCAGATTATTCTTATTGGTTATTGCTTACAGTGTTCTAAATTTTTCAAAAAACTTTTCCACGCACTATATCATTCTGAGACTTGACCAGCCTAAAATTAGGACTGGGGTAGATTTAAGTATTTCCATAGCTTTTGAATTTGGAAGATCATGCATCACACAACTGTTGAACTAAAATATGATCCAGGCTGTCCCACACCCAGCCCTGGCACCACACTTACCCCAGCCCAATCTTCAAGTAGAAGAGTCACTTACTTGTATGGGATGTGTTTGCTGCCATTGACGAGAGCCAGGATGACATTGCCCAGGGCGGACAGTGAGAGGCACAGCCCCGAGCCTCCTTCCCGATTTTTGCTAAGAGCTTTCACACAACTGCCGAGGTCAATGAGGTGTAGGCGGCTGCGGCCTCCAGACACTGCCAGAGGAGAGAAGACAAGCGAGAAGGGGTTAGGTTCTGGCAAAAACTCTTTTGTTTTCATGTAGCTCCTTGGGAATGGG